GTGTAGCGAGATTTAATCACGTCAGCCACGTGCGGAGAGGGTTGTCGATAGTGAAACTAATTCAAGTTAGGGTTGACCTTGACTTGATAAAAAGCGTGATAAAACAAATGTTAGTGAATTAATGTAAATGGCATCAGAAACAAATCTTGGGGAATCGTGGATCCCCAAACAGTTTGAACGGTCAGTAACTAGACCAGTGATGCTAACTTATGCCGTAAACAGATCTCCAGGCCTGGCTTTGGCATTTAAGGTAAATGTCATGGAACAGTGTAAATACATTAACCACTTACGATGAGTTGTACTCAGGAATAAAAGGCTGGAGTGATCAGATCTGCCTTCCAACCTAACTTAACACTACTAAAACTAGTTCTGCCGTGACAAACAGAAATACTGGATAAGTGCACAGGATAAAAACAACCCCAGTTGTCACGGGGTTGATTGTGACTAGTTATAGTCATTAAATAGCAGCAATGCGATGTCTGGGATGGGCATTCAAGTGTGTCGCGTCGATCCGCGACCATTAACTCTGTCGCCACAAACTGCGACACACCGCCTCCATCTTAACAGTGCCTCCATCAACCAGGTGGATCTCGCTACTCTTATATCCCCTGGGCGTGAATCTCGCCCACAAATTATTTCATTCATCTGACCATTCATTCAATAGCTGTACTAGTCAAACACGACCTCGGACACACCCACTCAACACTAATTTGTCTGAGAGATTTACTCAACGTGTGTGTCATCGAGTTGACGGTGGCAGTCGCGGGTATCAAACACAGCGGTCTGTTCTCCAACACCGAACAACCACGCCTGCAATGCGAGCATAAAACCGTCAGTCACGAGCTCCCCTAATGTGGTGGGTGGTAATCGGCCAGCATAGACAAGGAATTCCTCGAGTTTGTAGGTGCTCATGGACCTGCTTCTACGATGATGACCTGATAGTGACGATCAGATTCTAGTTAAATGTTCTGCAGGTTCGATAACACTTAAAGTTTGCTTCAGGCTGAAATCGATTGGGAACGATCATTGACACGCCAGGTATTTGACCATGGAATAGTTTGTCAAATACCTGGCGTGTCACAGCCCTTGATCGGAGTCAGTAAAAGCACCACCTTTTCCCCCGATCTCTCTTAGAGAGTGAATCAAAATTCACTCATTTTTAAATTGACGCTACTTCGACTCGGTTTTACCATGACTGACAAACTTAATTCGTCTTGTTCGGCTTCAGCATCACGTTCAATGGGAATGTTTCAAATATGACCATATGCTAGGAATTAATTCAAGGTCACGACAGCTCCCCAAAAGGTTGTTTGCGTCAAAATTTCATTTATCAAAACAGGAAGATGCGCAAATTAAATAAAATCTCCCGACAGATCTAGAGATCTAGGAAATTGCCCATGTAAAGATATTTGCAGAATTACACAACAGAGGTTGATTGGGCCGCAATCTGGCTGCATTTTTGACATGGAAACGAAACACGAGGCGCTAAGGAGAGAGAGTGCTCGTCCAAGTATCTTTCGTGTCCTGAAAGACCAATGTGTGTTGGTAACTTTTGCCAACAATCAGGTTGCTGAAGGGGCTTTCGCTCGCAGTACGCGTAAGTCCACAAGACGCGCAAGTGGTATCGTTCACGGACTCTCCTCGTATCGTCAATTCAACTCAAGGCCACTCTGGTTGGCCAGGTGTCACATGAAAGTTAGTTTGTGGTACGGGTTGTGTCTAATTCAGGCTAGCCCAAGTAGCCAATGGGAACACAGTTCACCGATGTCGAATTGAGTGAATTCGTGTTTGTTAAAAGATTGCAGTTATGTGTGTTTCTGGTGTGGTCAAATAATCGTGCCCCAGCAATGATAGAGACAGATAATCAGGGTTTGTGGCAGATCCAAAAAGTGAATTCATTAAAAAACTGAATGACCAGCCATTGTCACTGGGAGAGGCACTCCGGATTTCCAGAAAATATCGATCCAACGTTTTGGATCCTCAGATTTGCGTGAAGATCCTTAATGGCTTTAGAGATCACCATCTGCTGGTGACTTTGGAAATAACCATACTGTTGAAGCTGTTTGTGCTCGCAGTTCGGGTGAGTCCACAAGATGCGCCTCACAAGAACGTGGCATTGCTCAAATACCTACCGTAAAATGACGTATAACGCCCATTTGAAACCGTATCGCCCACAACTACTCCACTAAGTGAACTATAATTATCACGACCATTGCGAATATCTCAACGAAGGCATTTGGCGACCTGCGTGCTACTTTCTACCACATGGAACGTCTTACTTCTACGTCGACACTTTTAGCATGTACACCTGAGCAGTGTTGATGTGAATACCAGCGTAGTTTGCCCTGGTGACTATGGATTTGTTGACTGTTCGGCTGTTTCTGGTTCATCCGATTCTAAAGATGAAGAACTTTGAGTGATGCGACACTTTAGGCACTCGGGCGATTTTCAAATTCGGTTTTCGGAACTCCACCATCTCTTGCACAGATTTGCCTACAACGGGTGAGAGGGATTTCACGCAGATTGTACATGATAATTTTCAGTGTCGTTTATCGAAACGGTATACGGTAGAAGGCAAATAACTGCCTCAAATTAGATAGCCACAGAACACCCTCCGACGTTCCCTTTAGTAAATGATACCGCACTTTGCTCTTTAATGTACTACTTTGAAAAATCAGCAACCATTTGCGGTGAAATACGGGCTCATAATGCAGGAACTCAGGTTTGGTGTCATTTCATGTCCGTTTCCGTCATCAATATACTTAAATAAATTTGAATGGGTCCTTGATGGGTCCGAAGAATTCTACTTGTTTCAGACCGCCACACACTATTTGGAGTTGTTTTGATTAGTCTCTGACGTTTGAACATTTAAATTTTTGAAGATAACTGTTATGAATCACATTGATTCACATTCGTTAACCCGGTCACCCCAGCCTCCGACTTGGGGCCCTCCTTTTCCCAACATGTCGCCGGCAGCGCGGACTCTTATTAGCGCGAACAGGTATCCTCACACGTAGCTTTCGATGTTAGCACATCTGTGTCTTACACAAGTTGGCGTAAAAACCGAAGCTAACACTGTCTGTGAATTAAGTTAATCGCTTAGATAACGAGCTTCCAGGGCATCCAAATGATGCTTGAAATTTAGGTCAACAGAAGAAAAAACAATGTTTGCTGAGCTAACCGCGACACATTCCAGGACTTGAAATAGATGCGTCGTCGCCGTTGTGGGAGATTTGTGCGTTTACTGGAGAGTCCACGGTTTGGGGATTAATTGTACGGGAAAACTAGAAATTTGACAGGTGGGCTAAAGCATTAAAAATGTGGGAAAACAACTGGGTAGGAGTGAAACAGTGGCGGTTTGTGGTCAGAAAATATTGCGACTGAAACACCGATTTTACAACATTAATGTATTTACGAAATGGCATCGTCTAGAGTCACACCCACCCGTTCCATCGCCGCATTCTCCCACACACTGCCACCGTTTCACGACGTGTCCATCAGCCACACGGGACCGTCTGCTCACAGACCCTCTGTACACTTACCACCCCCACTACACCCTTCACTCATCTGACCGTTTGGATATGTGTACTTTTACTAGCTCACGTAAACTCTATGGACCAATAATTAAATTATCCGCAAGCACATGTTGCGATTCGTGTTTAATCACACCCCTTAATCCGGTCGCTCCACCTCCGACACAGGGTTCCCCTTTTCGCAGCGTGCAGCCAGACAGCCGGACGGATCCTCAACTCCCCCCTCATTCATACGGGCATTTATCTTGGATTAACCCCACACCTAGGTCTCGGCGTTAGCGCATGTATGGCTCACATATCCGAGGTATAAAAACACACGCGCAGACACCACACAACGACACCAACGTGGTTGAGCCCCGAAGTAAACGGTTGTGTCCACGTTCTTTCCACTCTTTTTCTTCATCGCGAGTGGCAGGGAAGCGTAATCGGGACTGAGTTAATTCCGTGGCCCCGGGATGGTTCAGGACCACATGCTGAGGCCCACAAAAGTCGAATATTTTAACCATTTCCACTAACTAGGTGTGTTGAACAGGATTGACCCTTTTCAAACAGTGCTTTGCCCTTTTCGAAGAGCGTGTTTTTAAATACAACTTTACTTGAGTTTATCTTACCGCACTTAAAGTCATAATATTACACATTGTTTGTTCCAATCAGCAGGAACGGTCAGGTCCAGTTGGTCATGTCCCCAAATGACCATCAAGGCTATTAAAGGTACCCACGCAAACCATCCTTTTCCTATTGTCTGATTTTAAATAAACCAGTTTGCGGATTGCTGCTGCTAGTGGTTTCTTTGCCAAAATCCTCCAGTCATCCTAGCTTAATAGACCACCTCAAAGGTGCTAGAAGACAAGCAGTAGAAGCATGAAAAGAACAGGCCCCGGCGCGGTTCGAGGACACATGCTGGGGCTCCCGACATAACTATTTGCCAAACACGAACTAAACACTAATCAAGGTTTTCACTTGCCATGCCATGGTAACCAAAGTTTCGACCAAAATGGTCACTCTTGGAAGTTAACTTGACCTTAGATGCGAACAAATTAGAGGCATTCTTATAGGTGGTGATGATGAGGCTGATCCGAACCCTTGTGCATTTGATTTTATCAGTTCTGGTAAAAGTGAGTAGAAGCAGTGCCGATTAGAAACTTGGGCTCTACCCCGTGCTGCATGTCACATGATTTTGCCGCATCTGACCCTAAGAAAAATCCTAACTCAAATAAGGCACAAATGTGTGGTGGTGCGTGATGCAATTGTCAATTACCTACAAGCCACACGTCGTTGATAGTTGGCTGGAAATGTTTGGCATAATTCATCTGAGGCCGCTTAAACATGATTACGATCTCTTTTTATACATTAGAGTGGATGTCTGACAGCACTCACCTTGGTTTGGGCGATGAATCAACTGGCGCGACGTGATTGTTCTTCTGTACCGCGGCTGTCGGAGTGATGGCGAAGGCTGGAGACGTCGTGGAGCAAATAGACGTTGGCGTGTGACCCACCGCCTCCCCACCTTCCCAAATCCACTCGGTTTTGCCTCGTAGGTGGTTGCGTCGGTGGTGGTTTGAAGACATGGGAATCAAAAAGGTTGGGTTCGCGTCGTTCGCATTACCATTGGCGTACATCAGTCCACTTCTGTTGTCGATCTGCGCTGACGAAATGACAGCCTGGTGGTACTGGAGTTGCCTAGTGCGCGGGAGGCTTTGGTGAGGGTCATGGAGACACGCCGCTGAAATGGATGGAAGTGGTGGAGGGTTGGTGAACTGGATGTAGTTGTGTTCGGGCTCGTGGTGGAGAAATGCCGTGGATATGGAGACGTCTTCGCTGCAGGTGGTCATGAACTGAGGCGGTCCACTAGAAGAGGGCTTCGAGGAATTGACCGAATGACGGGCGGCAAGGAAGGCGGAATGAGGCCCGCAGAATGTCAGGTTGGGCAGGGAGAGCGAAGATGTCGCGGACTTGGGTCGAAAGAGGTGGTGGTTGCGCGACACCAGGCATCCACAAATCATGGACAGACAGAGCATCGCTCCGAGTGACGCCATGATGAGAAGTAGCTGGATCCGCGGTTGACAAAACACACTCGAGCAGCCCTGAGTACCTTCCACGATGCCGGATTGATTAAGAAAAATTTTAGGGTGAGACAAATCATTCTACTTAACTTATCACAAACATCCATTACAATTTCACACTTCCCTACTTCTCTGTACTACCAAATCTTCGGAAAATCAAGCGGCTACCAGTGTTGATTGCTCAGTTCATCGAAGAGCTACACGATTCCTCAAACCGGTTCAAATATTTAAATGACCTTTTGGCGGCTGATTTCATGATGTTGGAATATCTCTTACTTAAATCTCAAAAGTAATGCAAAGCTGTCATAAAAAAATACGGTTTGTTCCTAGGAAAAACTGACTTTATTTACCCCGAAGTAAATGGTTGTCTGGCTGTGTGAGATCGGTTATTGACAGTAACCATCAACAATAACCGACATTATAATAAACAGTAAATAAAAGGGGGGAATGACATTTTTTTACAAACAAAATCTGTTATTACTGGGGATTCAGCATCCTCAAGGCCAAATATTTTTTTTAAATTGTTGACAATTTTTAATTTGTCCTTTTCCCTCGTGTTTATGCACACCGAATTTCATATTCATATTCCCCGCCTTCTTCCTATTGGCCCATTCGCCTTCGAGCGTAGCAGTTCTCCTACCTTTAATCAAGGCCACCCACGGCACATATACGTGGGTGATTGTGATCGACACTCGGCCACAGGAGTTACCTCGTCATTAGGCCTAATCTTTTTACCAAATGCCCGGTGTTATGCGCAGAGACCTGAGTCCAGTGAGATGAAGACTTCATCGCTTCGATTTCGACAATGGGCACGATGTATGGATGCGTGTGTGTGTGTGTGTGTGTGTGTGTGTACAGAGAAGGTAAGGCAGTGGTCCATGGCCGACAAAATGGACCAATCACAGGCTGCCGGGACACATGAGGCTGGACACGTCGCTTCCTTTTGATGTCAACGGAAATCTGCCCCCTCCCTCTCCCACCGCCTCCTCCCTGTCATACGATGGCGGAGAGCACTTGGTCTGACAACATCCTTCAAAGGCTAGCGGTCGACGGGAACCCGGAAAATGCCGACATGCACACCCACATTTGAGGTCGCTAGCTTTTTTTCACTTCGTTCAACAAAAAATAAAGTCAAGTTATTTTAGAGCTATACAATTTATTAGGCCAGTGTAAATGCTTTTCTGATACTGTCAGGAAAAAGTCCCCTTTCAAAACAGTCAGCGCATCAAGTACTGGACTCGTGCTCAAATGGGCACGCTTCCACATCTCTACAGGTCACACTAAAGTCCAGAGTTTGGGTTTTTCCTCGTGGGTGAGTTCGACCGGGGAATAACCGGCATGAAACTTTACAAACTCCCATTAAGCGGTGTAAGAATGTTGGGAATGTCAATATTCCCCACGACGACCTAATTAACCCCGAGATTTACAAACATCCAGTCGCGTTCGATTCGCGTTAATCGCACAAATCATCAGACAAAGATCGCCTGGGCCAAATGCAAGCGGGCGCGCATCTGAACCCAAACTCGACATCTGCTACGACCACCTCAGCTTGTGCTCGCACCTTTGACCTATCTGCGGGAACTCATGCACTGTTCTGGGAAGCCTGGGTAAAACTCAGCAGAAGCATCTATGCTTGTCTCGTTTTCACGAAAATTCTACTCCAAATAGTCAATTTAGTGGGTGCATAGGCCAGTTGGTCAACTCGCTTTCAAATTATCTGCGCATTCCAGCTGTGAATCACAAACCGGGGTCGTTCGATTCTCAGCTTCACACCATAAAGCCATTTTTTTACGTGGAGTTGACATGATTAAAATCAGAAGCTGAGGAAGACGCTATTTTGAGTAGCAGTAGCATGTGCAAGCGAGACGAGCATCAGGAGTCGTTACGTGACACGCGAGAGACATTCACTAACCCATCTTTCATTTTAATGAAATAAACAACCACCGAATTGGGGAGCCCGAAAGGGCAAAAAACGCTTACCATGAGAGTTCAAAGTGTCCAGATCCCTGGGTGTCGGGTTCGCGACCTCCAAAGTGAGCGACCGAACAGCAAAGTGGACTTTCGGGGGCAGGAAGGTGGTATTCTTCTCTGGGTCCCTGCTGCAAGGTCGCTCCTAAATAAAGTAAACATCATCATCATCATTGTAATGATGGCGACACTGAGTTAAATAAAGCCAGTTTTATCACCGACATTCGTAATGGCAAAGTATTATGTTGCCAGAGAGAGTAATAGGGCTAAAGCGACACCTTCGCGTGACCTCCGAAGTGGTGTTAGTTGCAAGTTGTGCCGAAATAAGTTAAAAGTAATTCACCGGCTTTATTAGGAAAGCCGTGATTGGCTAATGCATCGAAGAAGCATTCGACGATTGGCTGATTTGAGCTTGGACTTGGGTTGTAAATAATGCCGGGCTACTGTAGTGCTTGTACATTCCCGTGAACCCCCTGCTGGGCCACCAATCCATATCGCTGAACTCCGTGAACAAACCTCGCTAAGCCTCTACATAAACACGCTAATGACACACGCACCCTGCTGGTCGCCCTAACGACCTGCGACGACGCGCGAACAGCTACGACTGAAGAATCACAGATTCAGCGAGTGAGCCTGTCTGGTCATCTCTAGGTTCATTGTGTGGGATCGGGCCGCAACGTCAGGCGATAACTTGGTTTCCCCGATGTGGGGCCCTTTGACACTACCTTGTCGAACGTTCGTAAACACCGGTGCCACATGAAAGGTGCACGACTGATGTCACGAATGCTTCGTGAACGCCTATGGGAAGTTACCATTGCGGAGTAAGGCGTTTTGTAAATAGAGCATTTGGGGCTAACGAAAGTGTGGTTTCGAAAATTGGTTTTTGAGTTCAAAGCAGAAGAAAACATACAACGTATTGATACTCTCCGATTGGGGGTTTCGCGGTGCATTGAACATTTCCTAACACCCATGTGAGTTTTCGGGTCAAATTGGTTCAAACCACATGATCTGTTAAACCAGTGGCTTTGTCCTAATCGATAATCTTCAACCAAGGTTTAAGCATGGCTTTACATGGCAAATCCGCATGTGTGTAGGTGCTTGCAGTTTGTAACGTCAAATGCAGCCTGGTTGCCTTCTATCTGACAGGGGTTTGGACCAAAATCTCCAGTGGTTTAGATAGCCATCTTCATTAACACGGCCTGATGTTGAACCAGCGTCTTTAACTACTCAACTTTAATGAGGTCTTCACGACAAAATGGACAGCATTTCGCAATTTCATACACTATTTTGCTGTTTTCGTCTTGCTGCATCCAATCACGCTAAAGCACATTTGGCCTCTGACTTGTAGCCACTACGAGCGGAAGGCATAGTTGCCTGATAAATCACTTGATGCAAACTTTTGAGTCCCTAGCAGAGGAAAGCGTGTATCGTCACGGTTATTTCCAGTTGGTGCGTTGTTGGAATCTTTGAGAAGAGGGTGACTTTTTAAATGGTGATACGCTTCTGCCACCTTAACTGGCCCATCGTGTGCTGAAACTGGAGTCCTCGTGACAGGCGATGCTTGATTCTCACACGAAACAGACTTATCAACCACCAATCACCCTGTCACCTTTCCGAACGCTGGCTCTTCATGTGACATGTGCGCCACCTTGCCCGAACCCATTGATTCAAGCTGCAGCATGCCTGGTTGGAAAGCCTCTTAACTGCCACCACGGTCAGATGGAACATCCATCTACATCTTGGACCTCAACTCCACTCAAGCTGTCCAATTGGCAGTTAACTCCGAAAGTGATTGGTTGAATGTGATCGGCAAAAGCTGTCTGCTCTAGCTCCACAAACACGGCGTTTAAAATGAACAACCGACCTGCGTCGAGACAGCCCCAAGTAGCCATCAAGTCGTATTTCTGTGTAGTTGGGTTGCAGGATACAAAAACGCATTTTGTTGTTGATTTTGTCATCCAAACTCTGGCTGTTTCTGTGGCTTAAACAATCCATTGTGATGTTTTACAAGTGTGTCAAACACTTCGTGTTCAGACTGCACACATGGACGCAGACCATCCGTGCAATTGCTCCGAAAGGCAGGCGACGCCAATGATTCCAAGTTCTCAAAAAATCGAGACAGTTTATTCTGCAGTAATCTGTCTACTTTGTGGTACTTGGCTACAACAATTCACACCCTGTAATATCCACACCCGCTGCCTTCATTTGTTTGTTCACCGTTTTACAACTAAGAAGACCAAACTTGCTAAATTACCATCCAACTTTGACAACCAAACTTGTGCAGTCCCATTTGCGGAAGGCGCCTTTTCTGCTGTCTACAAGGAATCTTCAACTTGTTCCAGAAAATACCAAACCCTGAGGCTAAAATTTCCTGCTCTGATGGTCAATCCTTCTTGGAAAAATTCTTGAATTTTTGATTATGCGCTTTACGCTATTAGAGTTAGCGAACCACTAGGCACGAAATGTGGTCCCTTGGCTGAGACAAGTGATTGACTGGAATGGGTGCATGTCCGATGATGACCAACTTGCATTAATTTACATTAAACCACCTAAGTTGGAAAATATTAGGAGGTTAATTAGTGGAACCAGCGGCTTGATGTAGTTAAACTGTGGGAGAAACCGCCAATCATTTCATTTCGCTTTCTTTACGAAGTACATGGAAGGTCTGTAAAATCTTTTCCTCACGTCGGAAGTTACCGACTGGCTAGTACATGCGCCATTGCTAGACGAATGTGCTAATGTCCAAGCACATTTACACACACGAACACGACCATGTCTTAGTGAAGGACTAGGCTTTAGTGACAGGTGTGACCAGAGCGAATTACTGCCACCTCGCACGTGTGCAATCGTTGTGCCACACTGGCAGAAGCCAATTCGTGCCTTGACTCAACGCAAGAAATGTGCGCGAGCTAAAATAAGATTCTATCGTTGCCAGAATCGCGTGAGCATTGCCCGCCTGTCAGCACGAATGTTGCGTGGAGAATGCGGTCGAGATGTACACGTCCGATAGGGTCTTGAAGGGTGGTGGTGGTGGTGGTGGAGGACGATTTGGGGGGGGGCGGTGGAGTTACATTTAGGGAGCCTCATGCTTTCTGGGAGTGTTTTGATGCTGGCCATGTGAATAAGGCAAAAATACGGCATTTATTTGTAACCCAGTAATCCATCATTTGACTTAGTTTGATGACTTATGGTGATGTGTTATTTTGCAATGTTCAAATTTGATTATTTGTGCTCAAGTCAATTCGGTATTTGGTGATCGGCGTATGTCAATGACTATTGCTTGCCGATACACCCACACAAATACCCGTATTAGCTTTCACAGTCTCTACTTTGTCTTTAAAATGGTGGCACTCGGTTGCCGGACACTGAAATTTCCATTCCGCACACGGTAAGGGATCATATAAATGAAATCTCACCAGTCATAACTGGCTACACCAAGTTGGCCATCTTTACACTTTTAAAATTCCCGCAGCTGCAAAAATCACCAATGAGGAGCGTTCTAACTAGGCACCGCTCCAATCAAATGACAGCAAGAGCTTTACTTGAATTATGTGACTCACAAAAGCGCACCAAGCCCGCACAGCACACAGACGAAATCCACACGTGAATGTTACGCGAACGGAGCTGGCGTTGCCTTGGAACGAGGAAGAGTTGATTCGAAATGAGACATTCCTATTGGTTCCCTGAAACGGCAGGAGCAGACAAACCAATAACCGTCTTCACGTGGCAGAGTATCCACTTGTGTAGGCGTACTTTGACTACCAATATGCACAAAGGAATTGGGTTTGGGCTGTTCGGTTCAGTAAATGTGGCTTCATTTCTTAAAAGGTTCTAATTTCCGTAAATTGGTGTTTAGGGACCTGCGTTGAGGTTGGTTGGAAAGGCCTGAAATGCAACTACTCGATTGGGTATTTGTCGAATAGCCTTAATTACGCTGACCTCCTTCGCATCGCTCCTAAAATTGAGTTGGTTTTTCGTCATAGCCAAAATCGAAGGTCCCTCTCTAATCGAACTCGATTCCAAATATGTCGAATGATAAGTGTCTTAACTGTGCTATCCAAAAAACGGGGTCTAGATTTTGGGGATTAGATGGCAATCCTTAAGAATTGCCGGGGTTCGGGTAAATCTTTTCGTCATTTTTATTGATTTGTTTGCATGCTGCCCTGTAACTGAGCTTGGCCAAGTTTCGCGAGCCTGCTTTACAGCAAACTCGTGCCGAATTATTTCGGCAAATGAGTACTGCCTCAGGCCGATACAATCTGTTTTCGTCACGCACCTCTGCATTATAATGCTGATGATGATAACGATGTTCCTTGCTGATTATGAAGGCGGGGAATTGCGAGGAGATGATGGATATGAGGGAGGAGGAGGAGGAGGCGGCGGACGGGGGCGTTCGGCTAAGGTTGATGGAAGGGGCACTAAGGTCATGTTCCCTGCCTCTCTGGGACAGCGCGTACGTCAGGAAGCTCCCCGAAAAACCCGACGCCGTGTTGGGACACCTACGGTGTGAAGAATACGTCTTCTGTTGTCCCGAAACTAGGTTAGCGTCTTTTTTAATGCGAACAACTTGTGGGAAGTTATTCTACTTTTTTGAGTGCTGCAGACTAACATCTACTCCCACTTCCATCATGATCTTTTCTATCAAACAAGCGGACTTTGAGCCCGGTATTCTTCATGCTTCCTTTTCGATTACATAATGGCCGATCGTGATTGTAAATTTTGATCGTTCCCACACCAGATCAACTATATCATTATTCCTGTAACACTCCGATCATTAAGCAAGAATGAGCTGGACGAGGACAACGGTGGATCAGCCACATCGTGTTCGTCGTGGAAACATGTCCATCGCACCGTGTTTTAAAATGCCTCCTCCGGCAAATGAGTATTAACTCCGTGAAAAAAGGAACTTGGAAATCGAATGTTTGTGTCTTTTTTGCATGGACAAGTTAGTAGACGGAACTTACCCGCGGTTGATGATGTTGACGTACATCAAGTCCGCATTGGACCCCAACGTGGCGTGGCACGACTCGACGACAAACGTGGTGAATGTGCCTGCAAAATTCACGGTGAGAATGAGAACAAACTCAGTATCCACTTAAACCACCGATTAACAGAAAAGGGGATGCAAAATAAGGGGATTCTGGGTATGTATGTTGGGGATCCACCATACCCCAAGATTGCTCATTGTTAGTTTTTAGCACTATTTACGCCGATTTCCTAACATGTGTTTTATCACGCTTTTTATCAGGTCAAGGTCAATCTTGACTTGAATTAGTGTTCACTTTTTGACAACTCACTCCGCAAATTGGCGGACTTAATTAAAGCTCTCTACACGAGCTCTGGTCTTGTTCTTGCATTAGCGTGAGAAGGTCGGTGTTAGCGTCACCAAGGGATCTGGTACCGTTTTATCTGAGTGGTCTTCTCTTTGTTACGGGCAAACGTAACAACGTACGTGCTGGCGTATTTTTGAAACGAAACGAATATCATCAGAATACTGTAACTCTGGCACACGTCCAGATATGCCGTTGCGTTTTTTTAGCCACGAACATGATTCCGAATTCCTACAAGGGTTTTAACCAAGCTGCTCGAAAATACTACAAATCGACACGCACGAATATCGACCCAGACACTTGTCTGCTCCCGTATTAAATCACCCACGATGTAATGACAGGGTTTGGCGTTTGCTATCCATCTGAGCTAACAGACGAATCAGGTGGCAACTGGGCTAGAAAATATGGAAACTGGGAAACGGTGAATGCAGAAATTCATTGGTATTCGTGTCCAAAATTAGTAAGTCAAATGTAAGCGTGGAGTAGAGTTCGAGTGCAACAGCACTCTTCAACGGAGACGTTCCATGAAGTAGAGGATACTGCACAGGTCAGTGCTGAGATCCCTACATACCAGAATTAGTCACAAAAGCTCTGCAGATTTGTTAAAAGGCTTGGGAGAGATTTTCAAGACGACAGTGATTGGATTCAAAGTTACCGCCACACACTGGTCTACCAGGTCATAGGAGATCTTCACGCGAATCTGCTGATTCAAGGCGCGCAACTCTTTTACTGTTGGATCGACATTTTCCTGAAGTCTGGAGTGCCTCTCCCTGTGACTTTGGCAGGCCGTTCTGTGTCGCAACGAATGCTCTTTCTTGAACTGCCACAAGCCCTGTCTCTATCATTGCTGGGGCACGATTTTATGTCCACACCAGAAACACACATATCTGCAATCTTTTAACGAAAACAAATTCAGTCGATTCGACATCGGTGAACTGTGTTCCCACTGGCTGCTTGGGCTAGCAGTCATTCTCGAAGCAGCTGCTAGCGAACCTTAAGATAAGCGTGCATCAGACTCAACCCGTGCCTCAAACCAACGTTCATGTGACACCTAACCAATGAAGCTCACCGGTGGGGTCAAATAGAGTGGCCTTGAGTTGAATTGGCGATGCGAGGAGAACCCTCGAAACTACCCTCTTTGCGTCGGACACCACAACGAAGGAGAGGTCAAAGGCACTTGGAGTGGGTCGTATGTTGTCCACATTCCACTGGTCTGACTGTCGCTTTGACCTAGGATAATCGATGAATTCTACAGACCAACATCGGGCTTTACCTGGTGCACCAATTAACATGCTATCTGTACAGATATGAATGAGGTCGCTAACCACTAAACTAACTCTGAAGTTGGAGCAAGGCAAGGCAGTGGAGAGCACTGTTTTTTCACAGTCACCAAAGTTGCATAACGCTGTTACTACATCGGTGATAATCACTTGCACTTAAACTAAATGAATTCCCTTTTCCTACAGTGGATTCGGCTTCGTTATTCTTCTCATTTTGTAAGTAATCTTGATAAAGCCAAATTGAGGGAACTTTGATACTGTTAGAAAAAATTTTACCGAGTAAATTGGACCTTAAAAAGGACTTAATCAAGTAACCGTGTGGGGCAGATAAGTTGATGTACCAACTACCCCGTTCTCATGCTCCTAATTAGAGATCAAAGCGCAAGCCTTATCTCTACTGTTAATCAGAAGCCACAGATTTCACTTAGCGACTGGCCTACAACCACTGGGGCGTTTTCGGTGAAGTCTGTTATCGTAAATGTGAATTTTGGACTGCAATAAATCCTAACAAGTGGTTTCAGATTTCAACACCCTATGAGCTACTACCACGATCAAGGCTTTTCAGAGATTGCGCACAGGCCGAGAGGTCAATTTTTGCCTGCGTTAAATTTTTAGAAAGGCACGACCTACCAACTGCCTTCCTGTCGCACAAATGACGGTTGTCGTCTGCGCGAGGAGAAGGGGGCGGTGGAGCTGCCCTTCATGGCGGTTTTGGTGAAGACTCTGCAGGTCAGATCGAAACGCATGTCAAGGGTCGACTGCCAGACACGTGCGTCCGTTCGCACCTCTAACACGGCCTTGACAACGACCACTGTCTAAAGAAGACACGTGAATGGCACTCACTTCACCACACCAAGATTATGACTCGACAAATCCTCATTATGCAGCTGGTGACAACAGTACTAGATTTTCACTTCAAAAAAAACGGACATTAAAGCAACACCAGCCTGGTGTTAATCCAGATAAGAGAATTGGCTGCTTCGCACAGATTTAAATGGCTTCGGACGTTGGCAGGAGTTTAGATGCGCAGTTGACTTCGGGTCCGATGTTGGCGTAATTATAAACGGCAACGTTGTTAGCTTACCATTTTGTGTACCTTAAACACAGGTTCGTATGAAAGGTAGTCTTTGTGTGCAAACGTTTTAAACTTTGGAAATAAGCAAAAGGTTAATAATTGAGTCTAATTTCAAACCAAGACTCTGCCTTATTTTAGTTGGTGAATAAGCAACTATAGTAAACACCACTTATTAAGACAATGCTAGGGATAAAAAAGAAACTGAGGTTTCTTTTGTAGAACGAGAAATTGTGCCTTGCTTTTAACGAACTGATTTAGGCATGACACCACAGATTTGCCCGGCTAGAATCGGCACAAGCAGATCCGCAATTTAACACCACGTCATCAAGCCTGGTATGCAAAGGTCACAAATGAGGTCCCATTAGGTGGCAGAGCATAGGTCGGGTTCTTTTCCATGTCTGATGATGTTCTGGGGTTTCGTAATGCATCTCTGTTGGGGATCCAGCGTTCCTCAAGATGGCTCAATCAGCCTTGATCCATCAAGTCAAGGTCATCCTTGTCCGACATAAGTGGACACGTTTTGAGAGACAACTCGGCCTTTGGCTGAAACACTAAAATCTCTCCACACAAGGTCCTGTCTTTGTCCTGTACTGGGAAACTGGGGTCTAGTGTCAGTCAGGTTACCTGAGTGTGTGATTTTGGTTTCAGACAAGTCGTGACAATCTCATAGAACGACTTCCCGAGGAACGGACACTTCGGGCAGACACAATTCGGAAAACCACCCAGCACTACTGAGGGTGTTATGAACACCAGCCTCGGCAAAATTAATCCAACCGAGGTCTCATGTTGGGCTCCTCATCGATGGTACTCCGTTTGGCATTGGTTTTCGAGAGACCTGGAGCAAAGATTACTTGGGGTGATAACTTCAAATGAACTCCCTGGAATCTAACCGGTATTTGAACGGAGACGGACAGTTAATCCTTGACACAAGGTCCAGTGTATTGATGCACAAACCTGAAGCATTCGACAGGTACTTTTCAAAGGCAGAAACTGATGCAATTCACGCACATACAGTACCTAATGCCTGCTTATCTGTCGTTTTGTCACTAACTGGACCTTGGCCGATTTCAGTAAAATTGTCAGCCTTTGAAGTACACAATTCATGTTCACCTAGCTGCAGTGTACCATGAGGGTGTCCGTATCACATCCAGGAGCCCCTGATTCCAGCCAGGTTTCTTCAGCCTCTTGGAACCTCATCATCAATTCAACCAACACAAGGCGAAAACGAGTCTTGGTAATTGTGTTATGTTGTCGAATAAGATGCAAGCTACGGCGACCTGTAGCGTCAATGAACAGGAATCGGGTGAACAATTGTTGAGACCAGTTCAGCAAAATGGGAGGGGGCATCTAGTCACCACCGTTGGACCTCCTTCCATCTAAATGGCACCTGCCAGAATGTGCGACGGTGCGTTAGAATGTAAGTCAGGCTTGTGAAGATGAAGATCGAGGGTAAACTGCAGACACGAGCATACAATGGTTCGCGTCAAGATGATTAACATCTGTGACACCCTGTTGCATTCGCTGATCCCCACGCCCACGCACACCCCATGCTAGCTGCGTCATCTCTTCAAAATCCCATCTTGCTCTCCTCTTGTACCCATACCCTCCTATACCCCGGGGTTTGCACTTGACCAGCGTTTCAAAGCTCTCGACACAGGTGTTAGGGAGTGTTTCATCCTCCGAAACGCACCGGTATTGTGTCTCATTCTGTATCAACATCTTACAAATCAGTATTTGGGCGACAGTTCCAATTTCATGGCTATCAACGGAAATGAAAGCCCATTTTAAACTATATGCGTTTCAAGCTTACATTTGTGAAGGAAGCTTAGATAAGGAACTGTGAATTCTAAAAATATAAGCAATCAGAAATATAAAGGGGTTCCCATTTGCAATGCCTTAAACGCACCTCGTTCCTGGTCAAGGTTATGCCACAGGGTAGACGTGATTGGTTATCCGTGAATTCGAGGTTGACGCAGAATTGATGGTGATTTGCAGTCTCCCAACTGGATGGGTTCAATAAGAAACCATCCTCATTTGGTCTGAGAATGCAAAGGTGAGGTGTAACTGGAGACGAACGGCCCTGACCAGTCAAATAGGCGACCGCACTGCCATCGATCAGTGATTGGTGAAGCTGTTGGTAAGGGGGCCGGGTTGGCGGGAGGAAGCAGGCCATTAAACGATTGAGGGTACAGGATACGTGGACTGGAGAGGGCAAAAGGAATGACAGGACTGGCTAACACTAGATATTGCATCTATGTTTTTTTCGACATGGTACACCTGTGGTGTGAAACTAACACCATTGTATTGACCGCTGGAAAAGTGAGCCAATGCAATTGTATAAACTTGGTTTATAAACCAAACAACCATCAAAGTGCTATGCTATTAGTGAGTAATCTTTTTGCCTCAAATCTCATAGCCCTTGTAGACTAAGAAACAATTTTTGATTTTTTTAAATGGTCAATTTTGAATTACGTGTCCTGGCTGGACGGATGCATTTGCGCATTTGTGAAGGAGCTAACCTACTACAATGATTAATGTGACGACAAGCGTAGGGTGTATGCAAGCCTTAAAATCTCGTGTAAGCATCAAATGTGAGAACTGATGCGGCTGATTACTCAAGCTTTTTGTCCAATCACCACCAAGATCAGCATTTTACCGCCAAAAAAATTATGCGTCTTTCGAGGGAACTGTTTTTGCATACAAAAATACCATTTTAGTTACCCACCAGCTACCATGGCTAGAATTTGCTTTTCTAAATCCAAATCCTCAACTTGGCCGTTTATGCAATGCGATTTTGTCAAGACAGTGAAGAAGTTTAAGCAACGCGAGGAAGAAAAAAAGTGAGTACATTCAAACAAAAGGGGAAAAAGAGTGGGATAGCTACACTAGATCGTGACAGTTTGCCCCACATGACCTCCGAATGCGTTGTACGCAAAGAATACGAAATGTTTTAACGGCACTGAAAATACGAGCTGCCGGGACAACGATCTTAAAGAAATTACTCTGGATCTGAATGTGCCCTCAAAAAACGCTTCACATTAGCAGGCAGAAGGCAAAGGTGTTATGTACAACTCCACCCCAGGCACGTAGTCCCCCTGCCCACCAATAATTAGGTGTGGCCCGTTGTCATGCTAATGCTTAAGAGGAAGCTTTTACCTTCGAATGCTGAGTGCGGCTGATTATTTTGTGAGCGCATAAAATCAGTGATTACCCCGGGGAGATAAGCCTCCTTCCACCTCTTCCTCCTCCTCCATTCTTTTCCCTACCTTTTTATGCCACTCTGTTGCTTCTGTACGCTTGGACTTGTGTGACAGACACCATTAACGCGAGACCTACAAGAAACGTGCGCTACTAAGTGACATTGACACACTCCTGTTTTGCCCAATCGAGTGAACGAACGGTCCAAGATTCGGCTGCACCACTGCGATCTCAAGTGCGTTTAAACTGACGATCGATTGCCACACCAGTAAATCCAGAGCTAAAATCGAAAATCAAACATGCGATTATTGGTTTTTGTGCCTGCAAGGTAATAAACGCCTGTGTCGGTTATCGCCCGTCTACGTTTTGCTCTCAAACTGATTAGCAGGGCTGTCGGGTGGTTGTAAACTTGATTAGACAGCAACCAAAAAATACGCTGACACTGGTGTCACTTGCCCATTGGTCGTGGGCATTGATTGCTTGGGGGTGTTTCTGCAAACCCGGTGGCCTCCGCTTCCTTTTCCAAAATGACATTTAGTGCAGGCCAGTCATGAGAGTAGTGGACGAGATTCTTGCTGCCCTGGGGGGTATTGTGGGTGGAGGCGTGAAACGGAGGCGAGGAACTGGCAGTGGAACCCTTCGTCTCGCACACATGTTCGTCGGCCGTTCCGTCACCGTTGATGTCGACACACAGATCACCGCTCCCTTTGGTCACACAAGGCACGCTTCGAACTACATTTAACAGGGCAAAAATCGTTGACAGACTGCGTGAAAGAAAGTTAATCAAAAATCCTCCTCAGCTTAGGGTTGATTCAGGGGTGTAGAGGTTTTAAAACAATTAATTTGGCTAAATCCATTGGTTTTCCGGTGCTATACTCATGACTTTCAGTTAAAAACTCACGTCTGGTTCGAACCCTGTATCGACTTGTTGTATAGACCGTGAGTTCACTTTTTGAAGTGGATAGGATATTTGTAAAATCCTAATTTATAAATAAGATACTGAAAATGAGTTTCTTTGACGAATGGTTAGTTGGAAGGTCAAGAGTTGAAAATTGTAATTTAGCTTCGAGGGTTGAGAACTTTTAATGCCCACTTGTGTGAATCAACAAAATTTTTGCTTGCCTTTATTGAACACACAATTTGATTGGTTGTCTCTAATTGCAGAATGTTATTTTAACACGAGTTTGCGTTGGGGAACATTTGTTTTCTAAACTACTATCACGATATTTGTACATGATTATGCAAGCATTGCAACTCCACCATTAAAGGGGAGTTAAAGGTGTAGTCTTATCAACATTTACACCGACTTGATGGTGGAAACCAATGACAAAGTGCTGGTCACTGGCCAATCAGATTTGCAAACTCTGAACGGAGGCCAATCATTGGCTGACATCTTTTTTGGAAACCAATATGTGTGTACAGCGTGACCAGTCTTTGTCAACTTCAATGAAATCCACTCAACAACTCCACGTTCTTGTGCAAAGAGAGTTGAGTCCGATCACACAATCACGCCTGGGGCTTCTCGACCAATCAAAGAGCACGGAACTCACAACATTCGTGGTAATGCAGGCTCTGCTGGTAGACGGGGAAGTAGCCCTTTTGGCATCGACAGCTCCGCAAGCTGCCACCGACCGAAGTGCACTCGGAGTTCCTCGGACGACAAAGTAGATCAATCTGGTTGCACAGACCACCGATGTCAACTTGATTCAAAGGGGCAATGAGGGTTAAACAGCAAATACTGTTGTGGCGATTCAGAAAAAAAAAGATACTTAAAGACGTGCAAATACAATGAGAAACGAAACACATTTGGTCTGATACATCGGCCACCCGACAATATGGAGTGTTTTTATATAATAAACACAGTTGATTTTAAAAGGGTTACCTAAAATGGCCTTGCAAAATGCCCAATGCGGAACCGGCTCCTTCGAAGCTGCATCGGGTGATGGGGAAGGCATCGCCGTGTCGAATGGACAAGTACATCCAAGCCCTGGTCTGCAGAAAAAGACGTTAGAGCCCTCTTTACAACTTGGGAATGAAATGTAATATCGCACGTGGATGAAAATGTGCGCACAACCAATTAGGAATCCCTTACTATGACCTTGTGTGTTGTTTAAAACGGTAGTACCGGCCAATAGGAAGTCAGCTAAAATCAGCCCCTTTGTTTGGACAAATTCAGCCTAATTTTTCTTTCAGGTGTCTCCATTCCAGATCCACGTATGTGTCAGGTAGTCTTTTTCGCCCTAATGTAAGACAACCAGACGAAGAATACGCAATCATTCTCCATTGCCAATTGATTTACATCAAAGGGCAGGTTTCGTGGTGTTTGGCGTATTTAAGTAATGTAATCCGGCTCATTTTGATTAGTTTTGAAAGCAGCACAAGGCTAACTGCGTGGTTAAGCGATCCCAATATTCGTCACCACACGGAGCATGATAAAGTCCACCAACAGACGAATGAGTCCGAGCAAGTTCACCTCAAGCTGGCCGGAGCGTGACTCACCCCGTCCTTTCATTGGTGCCCACTATCAGCTTGCCGCCCTGTTAGTAAGCTCTCAAGTAAAAAACCCGCCACACCTCCCTCGCATCTCCGCCTGGCGTATGCGCTAATAAACGGTCATGTTTGGCGTCTCATCGGTCTCTTCTTTGTTTTTTAAGGATGTAAACTAACCAGTTCAATAATTAGCTAAAATGCCAAGGTCGAATGCATCCAATCGAAATGCGTATGTGACACCCACCCTCCCAACCGCATAATTGATTGGTTGTATGGAAAGACAGGGAAAAGCAATCAACTTTTTTAGTCTAGTGCCAAATGCCACCTAGTCAGACATTAACGAAACCAACTTACGACGATGAATTGCGGTTGTTGCTGCCTCCAGGCTGTTCCTCGTAGTAGCACACTCCATTGACCTGTCGACAGGTCTCACAAAAGGTACTGTTTTCTTTGTCCGCGAGGTTGCCTAAACACAAGTGTCGTTTATTGTGACGCCATACTCGCAACTTTATGCTTTCTCTCACAACTGACGTGAGATGGCGCCTGCTTTGGAAATTTTAATTTTTAATGAACAACTTTGCAGCCGTGTAAAGCAGGCCTGTTTTTAAAAGGAATTGCTAATTAGGACGCCTGACGAGGGCTGTTTGCTGGTCGCGAAGTAAACATCGGTCAAAACATACACGGGACTGGCATTAATGGCGACAACTAGCGTAGGCAAACAGCCCACGTACTGCAAATGTTTCAGCAAAGATGGCAAATTTACTTTCAAGGTCCATTGGAAGTACAAATTCTGGAGAAATTTACCAAATATCGTAAGAAAAAGGTTTTTTTTCAAATAAATACAGAGTGGTTTACTGTATCTAAGATTACCAATTCCAGCATACAAATTGGTATTTGCAGCGAAGTTTTGCAGTTAGAAACCGTTACTGGTTATTGGTTGGGCGATTGCAAAATCAATTATATCGAAGATTTATCCACAAAGTTATTCTATTTCATGCGAATGAGGCACTTTAATCTAATTTCAGTTGGTGAGGAAGGCTTTTTCACGTGGGTTTCATGTGAGGGTGATTAAAAAGTATGCCAAGCATGTGGCGGTGCTGTTTTTTTCTGCCAAAAGCACGAGAGACTGGAAACGGGGCTTAACCTGGGCTGAATTTCACCTCAGCTATGCGAGGCAATTGTTGGGGATCCACGATTCCCCAAGATTGGTTTCTGATGCCATTTACATTAATTCACTAACATTTGTTTTGTTATGCCTTTTATCAAGTCAAGGTCAAGCCTGACTTGAATTAGTTCCACTTTCGACAACCCTCTCCGCGCGTGGCTGACGCGATCAAGCTCTCTACACGAGCTCTGGTCTTGTTCCTGTATTAGCTTGGGGAGATCGGTGTTAGCGTCAACAAGGGATCTGGTACCGTTATTTTCTCGTTGTCACGGGCTAACGTGACAGCAATCGAGTTTATAATTCAGTCACGGTTAATATCGATGGGGTTACAGCGCAAGTAAACTACACAACTATAAGAAAAACAACGTCGACGAAGAACACACAGGGGTTTGGTAAGGTGCCGAACCACTCCGTGGACCTTACGGATGCATGCGGATTCGCCCGCATTGCCTTTCGGGTGACGTGGGTCACCGGACTCCACTTCAGAGCAAATCTTACCCAACATGTGCCAACAGATGCCGACGGAAAGTAACTAAACAGCGCCGGATTCGCAAACATCGTTTATTAGATTAAAAACTGGTTAATTTGTATCATTCCTCACGTTCGCTCCACGTTTGGAAAAAGGTCATTTCACTACGACTTGACAGATTTAAAGTGCAAGCGTGAGCGAACACGAATCAATCGATTTTTCGTGCTTTCCTGTACAAGACACACCCCACTACCGCTTTAATAAATTATTTGAGCGACGCTCCACCTGCATTTTTCACTCCTTCTTTCGGTTAGGCCCTGGTGGTGGTTTCTAAAACCGCACGTGGGCCCGCCACAAGCTTATCTCCAGGCAGTAATTACAAATTTGTCTTTGTAAACCCCGGCTTACACCGGTACCTCGATCAGGCGAGCATGAGGCATAATCAAAACAACTTTTTTTGCCAGTTTCAACAACCACCATTTCTTTACGAGAGGGGTTAAAAGGGCCACCCAAGTCCACCAACCGCATTTCAACTTAAGCGAGCTTTTACCGGGGTGAGTGAACCGCGCATCGTGTAAATGGTGGCTGGTGGCACACGGAACGACGGTGATGCCGCATCCGAGGGTTGTGGCAGTAAACACTGGCGCCTCGCGCTCGTGGCAAAGCTTTTAAACGCATCCGACTTGTACCCCAACTTGCAGATAATGTGAACTTAAGCGTAGGCGAAAATAGCATGTAGCCAGTTATGTGCGTGTGTTTTGAATGGAGTTGCCCTTAGCAATTACACTTGGTTACCGATAGTGTCCATTAGCGTTGTTATTTTATTCCTATCATCGCAATAACTACTTTCGCGGCATGATTGGCGTCGTTGGTGTACTCGAGATTTTATTTGCAAATGCCAACTTCATCTGTTAGGCCCATAAGATAATGCGCTCTTAGCTAATGCTTGATTATGGATGGCAAGGCTTCAACGAATAACATGGAACTGATTTCTGTGGAAAAAAGCGTCCAAGTGTTTCAGAGTGATATGGTGCGTGGAGACCGTCTTTGACCGGATCGAATGAGGTAAACGAAGCCAAAGGGAGCATGAGCCAATACTCTCCTGCTTTTTGTTGGACTAAATTATAAACAAATTCCGTTAAAGGTTTTAATGTGATTGCTGCAGAATCAAGCTCTTGACTGTCAGCCGCGTGAAATATACTTCCGGAATTGGAGATAGAAAGTTGTTAGTTCAACGGAATAATTTTAAACAGTTTATTAATGTTTTATCAGCAAATGAAGTTTTAAACCTGACGCCAAATGTTCTGTGGTTTCTCTCTGTTTGGGGAAACATACGCGGCGATCGGCGGGGGAACACGATTCAATCGATTTTTTGAACGCACTTAACGTATCGATGTTCGTTAAGAGATCGATATTAGGCTTTTGTAAATAAACTGACGACTTATCACTCTATACACCCACGCTATTACCGTAGCAATACCTCAGTTGAACGAGGCGTTATCTGCGATCCCTCTTTTCTCGCCTTGACAACGTAGGTCGGTCGACCCCGGTACGGTTTGAGGACCACACCGGTAGAGGCCTGAATTTAGCACTACCACAAAAAATCGATTGATTTGTGTTCGCTCACGCTTGCAAACTGCGTTCGCCTGCGAATGCTAACTGTGCTGGCTTGCTGGTCGCCACATACCTGACAAACATCCGAATGGAATTATCACTTAAACCAGCTTGTGAAATGACCCAATAAAAAAGGACGTTTTAGGTTGGGAATGTGAGAAAGTGAGGTGCAGGGTACTCACGACAGGCGTGTGCTTGGGGCACGTAGATGGTTCCCCCGGGACAGGCACAGAATCCGGCGCCGGGGTGGCAGATGCTGTTCCTCACGTGCACGCAGTCCCTGTCCACGTGGCAGCTGAGAGAGGTCAGCACTGAAATGGGGAGCACCAAGCTTCAGCCAGTAGCCTCTCTCTCTCCCTCTTTACTTCTACTCGTACTTAGAGACTTGTAATTCGTTCTGGTCGCGCGAAAATGCACCATATTTGTGTCTGTGTGTGATTTTGGATTTGAGCTAACAACTTCCCCGTGGCCTCAGGTTCTACTTTTAAATACTACGAATCTAAATTTCCTTTGACTGCGGAATCCACTTGAGTGGTAGCGGTCGCGTGAATGCAGCCACCGTTTTAATTGGTTCGGCTGTTATTCTACTCAATTTTATCCGTTAGTCTTCTTGATTTTACAAACGCACTACTCTTTAAATCTCATGATTGGATAGGCAACTTATCCTACACAACAAGCACCTCAGCGGATGCATGACTTATTTAGGTCTGGGGATGCAGTTTCATGTTTCTGCAATCCCGCACAATTCCCTCAACGTCTTCCTGGACTAACTTGGAATGGATATTGCCCTAAGCCAATAAATAGGCATGCGGAATTGGATAATCCAATTACATTTGGTTTGCGGTGAGGTGATCTCACCCTTGAGTGAATCTGCATTTGTCGTGGCTCTAAATCGAACTGGTTTTGAACTTGCCAATAGAGAAGAATGACAAATCCAAAGGAGACAAAACGGTTCGGATCTTGTGGGATTTTGTTCTGCGGCGGTGTAATCTACACACATCCCTAAGAAGACTGCTTCTGCAGCTGTGGAAAGCAAAGGCATTTGGAACCTCTAAGTGGCACCGCAAGCCAAATCAAAGGGGGACACAGGGAACATCAAGAAAGCCCGGTCAACTTCATTTAATTGGTCAGCTGCGTGGATGCCGCCTCTAAGGTACCAAGTGGATATTACTTCCAAAAGACCCGTCAAGTGGAGGAGCTCATGGTGGGAGTTTAGGGGTCAAAGTGTCCAGGTAATGGGTTGGGAATCTAAGACTCGACTTAATGATAAGGATACCGTATAGTTTGTCTCTTGTTTTAATTCTGCGTATTACTGAGCGCGGATTTCAATTTGCACACTGGATGAGCGGCGCTCATATTGAACTCTGCAAAAGCGTCGAGTCCCATACTTGTTTTGTGCACTTTATGTTTAACACTTATTACTTTCCCTTTTTTGTTTTTTTACGCTTACACGACTGTCTCGATTCGACTTTACTTATTTGTGGATTTGACGAAGAGAAGTGGTCGGACAGAAATTTATTTGATTGTGCTAAACGTTTGCACTTCTTACCACTGACACTGAATTAATGCTGGATTATGATCCATTTACTAAGTCATTAACATATCACCTTAACGACGCCACCTCCAATTTCACTCCCAAACAAGCAGTTTTTAATAAAATTTTTCAATCTATGAATGTGTAATTTTTTTAAAAATCATCGCATAACAAGGCCTGAAACTAATTCGTGTTTAATTCCGCTGAAAATGAGCTTCATTAATCCCCACCCGCTGGTTTTGAACCAGCCTGATTTCATCGAATGTACGAACCGTCAGGCTCTCCCTATTTAAAGAAAACACAACACACTACTCACGTGAAGAAACACGTTGCCAGAACAGGAACTTACGCGGCTTGCAAGTAATTCCGTATTCCTCTTGGATGGCCACAAAGGACGGCTGGCAGAAGCACTCGTTTTTGGTGGCCGAACAGACGCTGTTGGTGACGCGTCGGATGCAGTAGGCGTCGCCCTCGGCCACACACGGACCTGCAGCGACAACGTGGTACTCGTCAGCATGGGTTAAAGCGGGCCAGGCAACGAGGCACGCGAACTCCACCACCGCCAGCGACAACATCGTCGTTTGCGTCTCTGGCCTCAGACTAGCAGCGCTCAACACTGCCGGGGGAGCGTGCAGTGAGAGCTTACTTCGCCGTGAGAGCCAATAGCAATCGAGGCGGTAGTGGTTGGACGAGATTGAAAAGCGGGGTTGATTTTGAGGAAGAAAAAGCTACTTATGGAGGCCTGTTGGACACTTGGTGGTTCGGGTTATTTGATTGGGCCACTGGGTGGTTATGGGAAGGTGACTGATACGCCACTGTCCAGGGCCAAAACCACATGTTTTATTTCTGCCCTTTCAAACCGGAGTTTGGTTCCGTGAGTAAACGCCTCAGATGGTGATCATGAAAGGATATTCTTGTAAAGAAAGCCCAGTAAAAGGTACTTCTTGGACGGATTATGCGTGAATTTTAAGTGAAATGACTGTTGATTATCTCGAGGGGTGAGAACAGCTCAAATCTCATCCGATTTGAGCCACATGAAATAAGCAATCAGAAACAGAGGTGACCGCTAGAGGTGCGCGATTCTTGTTGAGGTTTGTTGAACCAGATGGAGGTGTTTAGTCAATCCTTTAGAAGTAACAAAACACACACAAATCTAGCTTTTTTTTATTTGGCTGGAATCGACGATGTTAGACAGACGCACAAAGCACCATGCTCTGGTGCTAAGAATGAGCCCTTCCGTAAGCTGATAGACTCTTCAATGCGATTGGCTAATTGGAAATCGAATGTAGGTGCAGGAGTCGCTGTTGTGGCGAGCTGCATAGCAAAATACTAGCCGAAAATCGGCAAATTCTGAGACAGCTTATCAAAATTGACCTTGTCATAATGCCACTTGACTTAATCACAATATAACCCGTCATGAAACGACATAATGTGTAACTTAGTGGAATCACTCCAAAATGTTCATCCACACCTTCTCGGTAACGAAAATGACCGGTAGTGACAGCGAGTTCTTCGAAATGAGTGTTCCTTGTTTTAAATGCGCTGGACGCCGTATCCTAGCAACAGGGACATTTCCTATTAGACAAATTACCCAATTACGAATCAATGCTACGTAGTGTATCCCTGAGGACACCGGCCTTTGAATCACGACATTTGTTTATTTAATTTGAGCGCAAGTTGTTTTGTGGCGGAATTTTAACACAACCAATTTTTGCAGATGATGAAGTGGTTGGGACACTAGAAGTAAACTCACGCGTACTTTTCTAATCATTATTTTTTCTAAACGTGTTTGAAATGAAATGACCGAGACGGCAGATGCTGTGAAAACATGTAGCCACACTGGGATTGCTTACCCTCGCGATAAGTTGTTACAGTGTTTAAAAGTAATTTAAGCGAAATAAAAATGCCTTCGTGGGAAAGTGGCTTTTCAGTAGAAACTCACCTATTTTTTGGTCATAATATTGTTGTCTTGAACCACGCAGGGGCCACTGCGACAGTCTACGCCGAATACTTTACCCTGTGTTCCCGGGAAAATAAAGAAGATCGGAGTGGAGAAGGCACAACCGTTTACTAGACCGCTCAACCAAGTTGTGCCGTGGACAATTACGGTTCAGTGGACATGTGTAAAAATAAACACAGGTGTCTGTGAGGCCACATGACTAAAGCGGGTGGTGGTGATGGGACATGCAGAGTGGTTAATGAACCAGCGGCCTCACGCGACTGACGGGCAGGTCGTGAAAAGGGGGGACGTGTGCTGGAAGCTGCGAGGACTGGGTGTTTATTGGACATGAATCAACACGAATCCCTACAATATCAACCTTAGGTGGGTGGACAAAAAATAATTCAAATTGACATCCCTTACAATGGAGGTACGAAGAGTGCTTTAAGACGTCCTTTGCACATGTAACTGTGGCATAGTTACTCGCAAAGCTTGCTAATGGCGTCTTAGCGTTACGTTTTTTGTACTAAATTTGGACCAAAGACACTGTGTTTGATAAAGAAACGGTTCTAGAGAAGCCTTTTTAAATGATCAACATAATCTCACAAAAACCGCATAACTGCAGAAAGGTGAAAAGGTTTGCTAATCAGGCGCCTGCCAGGAGGGTGACGTTATCGCCAAAATCTGGGACCGCCCATGCGCGCCTAGCGATGCTTTGCGTGACCACTGGACGATGGCGCTTACCTCTGGCCACCACAGGTAAGATGGCTTCAAGGAAGGAGTTGACAAATCACACTTGAGATCTCGCATGTCACGGATGGGGTTGTTTTTAGCTCTACGGGATTCAACTCACGCACACAACGATGGACACAATTCCACACCAACGTGACTTGGAAGTGGGTTAGAACAGTACGTCATTTGAAGATTGAAGTAATTTTTTTCCATCGTAGACGCAATTCGAACAAAGGAGCGTTACTTGAACTCACAGCCCCACAGTAACGGCAGAATTTGCCAGCCGTGAAGTTCGTGTTCGAGCTGTAACTCGCAGATTTTCGAGTCTGGATCCAAGTAAATTGCAAGATGCGGACACTAGTGTGTGTTTTAGAATCAACAGTTTTAGACGCATGTGACAAGTGGCTTACCAGAGTATATCATGTCATTATCCTCACTAAAATAGTGGTGGGAACAAGTGACTGCTAAATTTTACCCCCTACAGACTGTTCTGGTCTTTAAATGCCAAATCAACTTGGTGGGGATCCAGCATTCACCAAGACGGCTCATCGCGGGTTAAGATTCCGTCGTTGTGTCCACAATTCCTCTAACCATGCCATGCCAGTGGGTGAGTCACCCACGGCACCACACTGACAGCCCAATCTGTGTTAATCCGCGCCATGAGGTCAAGGTTACGCTTGACTTATATAAGTGGGTACAGTGGGCCCTTGGCTGACGCATTAAGAGGTCTCTGCGCGACGTTCTGCGTTGTCTCGCATTAGTGTGGGAAGGTGTGGTGTCAAGCGTCCGGCGAGGGAGCTGGGGCACTGGTTATCTGAGGGAGTGTGCGGTTTTGGTTGTGGGCAAAACGGAACACAACTCTTCATGAAAGAAGAGATGCTAGCTGATTAGGGCACCAGACAATCAAG